GGGGTCCAAGATTATCTTCTGTGTCTGTGTTAGTTGGTTTCCCTTTTCTTTGTTGAAGAGGGTCTGTGCAGTCCTTCTGCCTAGTCCGCCATCTTACACCTGGACATTCTTAAAAGATCTACAAATCTTTTAGATTGAGTTTTAAAAAAATGGAGATAAAACATATATAGCCTACTCCTTTGAAGCCCTTGGGTGCTGCAACATTTAGGTGCTCAAATATCAACTGACAGATTGGCAGTTCAAAACTACCTAGTGCCTGTAAAACTACAGCCAAGAAAATTCTATAGTGCAGTTCTGTTCTGTACCATGGGGTAATCCTGAGTCAGAATCAACCTCATAGCATCTAACCACAAACACTTAACTATATTGAATTAGTTTTGGATATAGTCTTTGATAAGAGCAAAGATACTATTATTTTATTTAAATCATCTTAGTTCAAATACTTTATTTGAACTAAGTATTTTATTATTCTCTGTGGGTGGACATAGGGATAATTTTCAAAGGAGTCCAAGTAGTTCTACAGAGCTAAGTTATTCATCTTTATTCAGTTTATCTATAAGTCAGATACCAATCATTTCTACTATTTAAAAAAAAAAACTCAAGAGAGAGCTACTTCAAGTAAAACTAAAATGTTGTGCATGCCTAGATACCTTGTTCATTCATAAAACATTGTGGAAAGGTGTGAAATACAGTCAGTTCTTAGATGCACTGGAAATCTGAAATGTAAGGAAAGGCATATTGAAAATGAGGCTGGTATGCAATTCACTGTAACTTCATGAAGGAATGCCTGAGCATTGACATAACTGGGTTTAGGTCCCAGATGTGAGTGCTAGGAAAATTAACTCTTAGGACATATAGTGATAGTGATAAGAGGTCAGACATTGGAGTTAGGAACCCTAGGTTGATCCCCAGTTCTGCTACTAGCTTATGATCATTGTCATTTAATATCACTTTATAAATTTAGAAACTGAGGTTCTGAGATATTAATTGTCTCATTTCCCCCCAAAAAACCAAACTCACTGCCTTTGAGTTGATTGCGACTCACAGTGACCCTTCCTTGGGTTCCCGAGGATTATCACTAGTAGATTGCCCAACTTTCCTTCCGAGGAGTGGCTGGTGGGTTTGAACCACCAGCCTTCTGTGGGTAAATTATGGCTTCAGGTCTTTCAGAGTGTAGAGCTCAAGATCTTTACTGTTCCACTCAAGAGTTGGAGTCAAATAAATTGTTAGAGTCAAAGGAATGTTCACGTTCATTTCTCTATTTGTAGCAGTGTAAAGGAACACTTTGATGAGAAGTGACTTCATATTTAATCATTGATTGAGAATTTGAACCTTTAGGCTTATTTACTTTTTAGCAATGTGTCTAGTTTCTCTAACCACCTGAATTAACATCTTCCTCCATTATGAGGCCCAGAAAACAGAAACATGTGCATGTATATAGAATATGTCTATGACTTTTCATTAAAAAAAGAAAAGAAAAAGCAGAGAGAAGAGACAGGTTGATTATTTTTTCAGAATTGCCATGGATTTCTTTATGATCTTAGAGATGTTTGCCAACTTGCAAACATGAAGACCAGTTAGAGAACAATAGTCCTAGAACCTCGCCAGAAGTGAATGAGATGTTTTATTTCTGTACATCAGTTTTGTCTCCTTCCATTTTGTCTCATTACGTTTTGTGCTCCTAGTGTTCACCTGTCGATTGTCACTTTCCAGCCAACCCTGTGCAGCCCCCTGAAATGGAAAAGTTGATGAAGCACTTTCTCTGGCCTTTCTGCTGTGCTGGCTTGCTGGAAACCTAACAAATTTCATAGGCTGCTACTTGACCAACGAACTGCCCATTCAGGTAAACCCTTCCCACAATTTATCTTCAAAAGAGGGAAGGCTATGCTTTGTGTGTGTGTGTATAGAGGGCTTCATCTGTAGGGTGCCAGATTTAGCAAACAAAAATACATGATACCCAGTTAAATATGAATTTCAGATAAACAATGAATAATTTTTTAGCATAAGTTTATCCTGAATAAAGAGTCTCTGGGTGGCGTAGAGGGTAAAGCCCTCAACTCCTAACTGCATGGTTGTGGTTCAGACCCACCCGGACGCCCCTCAGGAAAAAGGCCTGGAGGCCTGCTTCCTAAAGGCCACAGTCTTGAAAATCCTACAGAACAGTGCTACTGTGCAACACACGGGGTCGCCATAAGTTGGAATCAACTCAAAGGCAACTGGTGTGGGTTTTCTTGGCTTGTACATTAGACATTCATGGGTATCCTTTATTTTATCTGGCAACCCTCTTACTGTGACAACTTGTTCAAAGACAGAGGCCTTTTTGTTTTCAGGGTTTTTTTTTCCTTTAATATACATTTCATTTTAATTCGTTATCTTCATCTAGCTTTAACATTTTCTTGCCTCAAGGTAGTTGAACATGACATGTTGCCATTAAAGGGCATCTTATTCTTTCTAAGGTTGAAGAATCATCTCACACGCTGACAGATAATCCACAACGAAACTAATCATTGAAAATATAGTCAGTGGTTACAGGCCAACATCTCTGCAGAGTATTCAAATGGGAACAAAAAATTAAAGTGGAAAATTTGTAAGCTTTTAAAATATCTTATTACTATATTTAATATGTAAATGAGTTTGTCACCTTCATATAGAACATTACATATATTGGGTGACAACAACTCTGGATTTTACACTCATGGATGTCCATTCTTATTTATCACCCCAGATTCTTACAGCCATCTTCTACCTGGACCTGGATATAGTCATACTCTCACACTTTGCATACTACAAGTTAAAGAATCAGAAGAAAAAAATGCAAGATCAATAACAGTTCATTCTCATACTTTCATTTGTAACTGAGCAGTTTCTGACTTAAAAACCAGTAGAACATTTTAGAGTTATTTTCAGTGAGATAAGGCATACTTTGTTATGACATAACATTCCTCTTAATCATCCCAATGAGGCCTTTGGAGATTTCTGGACATAGCACATTTAGATTCCATGTTATTACCATTTATATCAGTTTTTCTGTGTGCTTGGGAAATGAACAGAAGTTATAAATCAGAAAATGGTTAGTTCTTCTAGGAGAGAGAGAAAAATCAAATATTCTCTGTGATATCTGTAGGTGATAAACACTTTCACTTTATCTCTCTTGTCCACTCTGAAAACACATCTTCCACCAAATAACGACTGCCAATAGTTCTTAAGTACTTGCTATGTGTTGGTACTGTTGTAACTTATTCAATCTTCATCCCTCCCAATGGAGCAGGCACTAATGTTATTCCCATGGGCTTTTAACATATATTTATTGAATAATCATGTACTATTATTTTTTACTCTTGCTTTGATTACTGTTTCTTTAAATAAATGTTTGATTATTTATTTGTGAGTGAGCACAAAAATAAAATTTGTTTTTAGCTATTTATTAATGAGTTGGTTTTGTTGTTCTGTGCCATCAAGTTAATTCTAACTCATAAGAGTGGCCCCATTTCTCTCCTCAGGATTGGTGGTCACATTTCCCTACTGCCCCTTCTGGCACTAACTACTGAAAGGGCAAACTCCCAATCTCCACTGGATATTAGTGTGAAGAAGGCAGGTGGACAACTCCAAGTTGTGTACCAGGCACTGTGCTGGGCCTTTTATATGAGTTCTTCTCACTTATTCTAGATAGATTCATAGATACATTAGAGCTGCTGTCTAGTTGATTCCAAGTCATAGTGACCTAGTGTAGAACAGAATGAAACATTGCATAGTCCTGCTTCATCACAATTGCTGGCATGTTTGAGTCTATCATTGCACAGTTGTTCCAGTCTATCTCACTGAGGTTCTTGGTTGGCCTCACTGGCCCTCTATGTCACTAAACATGATGTCCTCCTCCTGCAGGTGGCCCCTCTGATTACATTTCCAAAGCAAGCAAGTAATAAAATATTCTTTGTGATCCATAAACTTTTTATTGGCTAATTTTTGGAAGTAGATAGCCAGGCTTTTTTTCCTAGACTGTCATTCTGGAAACTCCTCTAAATCTGTCCACCATGGGTGACCCTGCTAGTATTTGTAATACTGGTGAGATAGGTTTCAGCATCACAGCAACACACAAGCCACTACAGTGCTACAAACTGACAGATAAATGGTGTTACTTCCCATAGCAAACTTTATTTTATAGTTGAGGAAACTGAGGCATCAGTAAACTTGACCAAGGTCACATAGCTAGTAAGGCATTAGATTTCAAAACCAACATAAAGTAATGTTGTTATGTTGTTATTTGCCATCGAGTCACCCCGACTCCTAGCGACCCCTCCTTGGGTTTCCGAGCCAGTTATCACTACGGAACCTTCCTTCTGAGGAGTGGCTGGTGGGTTTGAACCACCAGCCTCCTGGTTAGCAATCAAGTGCCTTAGGCACTATGCTACCAGAGCTCCTATTACTTTATAACATAAAGTAATATCAGGTGTTTATTAGATGGATTTAGTTTAAATGGTATCTCAGAAGGACAGAGTCTGTCTCTGTCTTGTTCAGTACTGTATCCTAAGCACCTAACACATAGCAGGCATTCAGTAAATCGTGGTAAAATACTTGGTATCTGATTGGATGCCCTTTAATCAGTTTCCTCCCCTTTGTACTTCACCCCCTACACAGACACACACACACACACACACACGCACACACATCAAGCTCATATTAAGTATATTAATAATGTATGGTATCAAGATCTAAAGTAAAGGGACTAGTTCATAAAAGATCACTAGAATAACGGATGTATGTATAGCCACTCTCATAACTAGTTCAATCAATGTAGAACCAATCCTGAATTTCTGTGGCGAAGCGCTCTAAAACAGGATGACAGGGAAGCTCTCTTCAGCTTGCTCCCTCAGGTCTAAATTGAGCAGCGCATACAATTTATGAGGTTTCCGGAAAAGAGTTTTGCTTAGCTGCAATATCTTGTATGGCAAAGTAGACTGAATTTGGAATGCTGTTAAATTTAGGGTCAATACAGAGTTCAAAAGAAAATTAAATTTTGCAGAGGAACATGTGCTTGATGATCTCTCTAACCTGGAGTGTTGAGGGATAAAGCAAATTTCTCGATACAAAATGTGTTTTAAGGTAATTTTTTTTATTGAAGTCTATTGTCTTAACACGTGGTTGTAATATGTAAGAAAGCAAGAGCTCTACCTTTGCAGTTATACCTCCACAAATGTTTTTAAATAAATGCTTCATCAGTTTTGATGTTTAACAGGTGGGAATGATTTACCCAGAATCTTGCAATCAGATGTCTGTGTGTCTGGTGTCTCCTGATGCAACACAACTAAAAAAATTTTTAAAAATGGAATACAAAGGTTAAAACTGCATGAACTTATGCTGCCCTTAGCAATCCATGGTAGATGGTGGTCTGATTTATAAGGGATCAAGTTTTCAACCTAAACATGGTTGTTTTTTTTTTTTTTTGGTTTGTTTTAATTTTTTTTTTTTTGTCTTTGCCTTTACATTTGTTAAGTTTCTATACCCCAGTACCCTCCAGCCCCCTAAACAAGAGTGTTCAATTTGATCCTCTGACCTGGGAGCTGTCATGCCTTTATTCTGCCTTGGTGGGGTTAGTATATACCCAACCAGTGCCCATGGAAAAGGAGTCATTCTGTTCTACACAGTTAACAATTTATGGGCCAGCTACCTTTTGCTTTTCCCTTGGAGGGCTTTCCAAAATGTGTCTTGATTGGCTCTGGTGACTCTGAGAGATCTAGTGTAGATACAGGAGATAAGGTCCCTGGATGTAATGACTTAATTTATATCATCTTGGAGCAGGGACATGAAATACTTAGTTTTGCATCCCTGTTCCTAAAAACGTAGATGTTAATAAGAATCTCCTGATTAACTGACTCTACTTTCTCGATTTCAGAACCACTACTTTGCATGTTCCAGTGGGGCCTGCAGTGGGGGGAGGACTTCTCATAGTACTTTGCTTTTTATCTGCCTCAAGTGTAGCTAGAGGATTTTTACTATCTCTCTCCTGTCCTCCAAGGCCTGGATCACCCTCCCTGTTACTGCTTTTAAATTCTTCTGGCTGCTGCTACCACTAACACAACTTTTAATCTCCTCTGAACCTCTTCTGCACTATCTACTTAGCTCATCTCTCTAGTGTTCCCCTTTCTTGCTGTTCTCCCCTCCCAGGACCTGTCAGTACTAGTATGATACATTGGCTTATAAATGTGTAACTGGACAATTAAAACAGACCTTTTCTTTCCTAAAGGACCTCTAATGGTGCAGTGGTAAGCATTCGGCTGTTAACCAAAAGATTGGCAGTTCAAAGCCACCAGGTGCTCCCAGGGAGAAAGATGAAACTGTCTGCTTCCATAAATATTTACAGCCTAGGAAACCCTTTGGGGCAGTTCTACTCTGTTCTACAGGGTCACTATAAATCAGAATCAACTTGATGGCAGTGGGTTTGGTTTCCTTTCCTATAATTGGTGCAGCCAATCACCACAGTCTATCAGATGCAATCTATTGGCTATCCTGTTCTCACAAGCACTTGGTAATGCTAAATTCTAACTAAAGGGCTTATCATCCACCACCACTACCACTATTGTCATCACCACCACCACCACCACCATCCCAGATAACTTTTACTGTGGAACCACTCCAGACGTAAGTATTCTGGGGATTAAATACCACATAAGTGATATTTAGCTGTAGTAATTCCTTTGAGTGTGCCATTGAATACAGGTTCAGTAGCATATGGCCTTTGTTCATCACTGTCTTGTTAATTTTCAAGCACCAGGGAGCAGAAGCTTACAGACTTTATGTGTGATCTGGTTACTGGTGTGCGTTGTGCTGTCAGTAACAATATCAATTCTATTATTGATAAAGAATTAGCATGAGACTTCAACAGAAGCAAAAAAAAAAAAAATCTTCATTTTAGAAGTCCATAATCTCTTGCATTTTGATCCTTTTTTTTTGGTTACTTTAGAAGTATCTGTGCAGGGTTTTTCAGTGTCAATCTTGTGACCATAAAAAGATTAATTCATTATTACTTAAAATTCATTATTATTTTAAATTGTTGTTGTTGTTGTTGTTATGTGCCGTAGAGTCAGACCTGATCTATAGCGACCCCTTCTTGGGTTTCCGAGGCAGTATCACTACGGAAGTAGATTGCCCAACCTTCCTTCCAAGGAGTGGCTGGTGGGTTTGAACTGCCAGCCTTCTGGTTAGCAGTCAAATGTCTTAGGCACTAAGCTACCAGAGCTCCTATTTTAAAATTAAGAAGTTTATTTTATTAATTTTTTGAAATATAGCTTCAAAAAGATTTGAAGAGAAAAAGAAAACTTCAAACCTTTGGGACTTCACAGGCAGTCACTTTAGTATACCAGAATTGACCAGTTCTATAAGGAGCTCTGGTAGTGTAGCATCTAAGGCACTTGACTGCTCACTAGGAGGTTGGCAGTTCAAACCCACCAGCTGCTCCTTGGAAGGAAGACTGGGCAATGTACTTCCATAAGGATTTACCACCTTGGAAACCCAAGTCAAATTCATGAGTCAAATTCAACTTGATGACAATGAGTTTTGTTTTGTTTTATTTGATTTGGTTTAGGTAAGCTTCAGGGAGCCTGGTTGCCCAACACTTTAATGCTCAGCTGCTAATGAAAGGGTTGGTGATTTGAACCCACTCAGTGGTGCCATGAGAGAACGACCTGGCAATCTGCTCTCATAAAGCTTACAGCCTAGTAATGGGACATTACTACTCTGTCACATGGGGTTGCTATGAGTGGGAATCAACTCAATAGCACTCAACAACCACAGGTAAGATCCATATGTGGAAATCCAGAAAACACCTTCTCTCAACATGGACAGAGGCTGGTGGGCAGAAAGCCTGACCCAGTGAGATGAGGCCCATCCTGCCGGTAAACCTTCCACTTGGCACTCTCCTATAGACATATAATTATATGTACTTAGGTCAGAGAATGGGTTTCACTGAGCTGAACCAGAAATCCAGATAAATAACCAGGTAAATAAACCTAACTTGAAGTTATTTAGGGTAAAGTTTAAAATTTCTGTTATTCAAAATGTTTTAGCATATCTGAGTACATAGTTAAGTGATTTTGCTACCTGATTAGAGACTATTACTCACCCTAGAGAGAGATATTTATTGGTCTCCAAAATAATAGGGCACAGAGAAAAAAATATTTCCATCCCTGTTTTCTCTAATATCTCCCAGTTTCCCTTAAAATATTTAGATACTAATGTGTGCTTAGATTGCTTCTTAATACTGCCATTCCTTGTGTATTATTGCTTTTAGGATACTGTTGGCATAATTGAAATGTCAGGTTTTATTTGTGGCTATATAGCTTGTATATTCTACCTGGGTTCTTGATTCCCCCAACTATATATAGAAATGTAAGTATATCATTTTTCTGTATTCCCTGATCAACCAAAAGTGCTTCTTATCTCTTTTTGCCTATGTTTAAAAGATGCCTTGGAATTCTAAGTACACCTACTCCTCATTTATCAACTATCTCATTATCCAACATTTCACATTTATGACAATAGTAAAACATCTACCACTTGACTATTTTGCACATTAACAATGTATGTCTGGCAGTAACGAATGCCAAGGCATGAGGCAAAAGTAATGCTGGCTGTGATGATTATGTGCCAGCTTGGGTGGGCCATGATTCTCAATGATTTATAATTGTGTAATATGGCAGTTATGTAATGATGTAATTTCAGTTATTAATGATGTTGTCATTTCCCTCTTTGTGATCTGATGTGGCCATATTCCATTTTCACATAACACTGATTTTCACAAAATGACCTGGTCTTTGTTGATAAAAGAAGGAATGGGTGTAGTGCTTTTGGGACTACCAATATGGAAGTCATAGTGTTGAATAGATTCTTGCTGAGATTCTTTTGTTGTTTGTTAAGCTCCTTTCAGCATTGGCAGAAGATGTAGACCAGTAGTCTAGATCTGTTTCTCCAAGTTTGCATATTAACGCCAATATAATGAAATCACAATGAATTATACAAAACATTTGGCATGGATATTGTGATCATTTCACCTTATGAAACAGTCCCTATTCAATTTGAAGCTTATGTATTTCATTGTGTCAACCTAGAAAAGACCTAACTTGTATGTGTGCACTTTATCTTCTTGATTTTTCAACCATCCATGACTAATTTGAATTTGCAGTTGAATATTTTTTCATTAACTAGAAGTCCTGGAAGGAGCTCTGGTGGCATAGTGCCTAAGGCATTTGACTGCTAACCAGGAAGTTGGTGATTCAATCCCAACAGCCACTGTGTGGAAGAAAGACAGGGCAATCTACTTCCATAAAGATTTACTACCTCAGAAACTCAATGGGGGTCACTGTGAGTTGGAATAGACTCCATGGCAGCGGGTTTTAGAAGTTTAGAGAAAGACCTGGCAATCTACTTACAGCCTAGTAATGAGACATTTCTCCTCTGTCGCATGGGGTTGCTATGAGTGGGAGTCAACTCAATAGCACCCAACAACAACAACAGGTAAGATCCATACGTGGAAATCCAGAAAGCAACCTCTCTTAACATGGACAGAATGGAACATGGAAATTGAGACCTCTCAGTAAATTTTTGAGTTTTAATGGAAGTAAAAGAATATTTTCTGTAAATAATGAATTTGAATTTTTATTTGGTCCAATAGTCATACATTTGTTGATATCTTGAAGTATTGCAAACGGTAAGATACATAGATGCAGATATCCATACATTGAAAGAAATATATAAACCAGTAATTAGCAACAAAGAAGCCCAGCACACATTCTGAATAAAGAAGTTTTATGGAAGCAAGGTATATTTTAAAAGGGAGACTATTATATTATTATGGCCCCTTCCTTAGAATTGCCTAGAAAATTATCCCAAGAAGCAGCTTCATAGTAGGTAAGCATTTGTTAACCTCAACCTCCATTTAGCTCCAATTCTAAAGTAATTACCAGGGTGGGAAAAAGATTTTTATTCTGAGAAATTTGTTACAGTGCTATTTATAAGCCTGGGAACAACCTGAATACCCAATTCTGTGGATGTTTGGAAGCAATTTAAACATTTGAT